TTTGTTGATAGAATTCATGCGCACATACCAATATTTAATGAGGCCCACAAAAGAAACTCTACATGTTGACTTGTTTAAAGGGTTTTTGGACACACATTCCTTTATTTACACGCCAAAGCCCGAATGCGAATCTACTTAGTTGCTGATTTCATAAGCCCCCGCCCCCCCCCCCCCCCCCCCCCCCCAAAAAAAAAAAGAAAGCAAAGAAGTGCACACTGCAGTTCTACAGGGGACTATAGATCCCAAAAGGGTAAAAGTGTACTCATTCAGCTACCAAGTATGCCTGAACCTAAACCCTGTTCACCCTGAAGGTTCACCCGAAACCCTAGACCCTGCTGATCCGAAACCCTGAACCATGAACCCTGAACCCTAGACCCTAAACCCTAAACCCTAAACCCTAAACCCTAAACCCTAAACCCTAAACCCTAAACCCTAAACCCTAAACCCTAAACCCTAAACCCTAAACCCTAACCCTGAATCCTCAAGCCTGAATCTATATAACTCGGCCTTAAAGCGCTCCACCGCGTCGTCGAACTCCTGCTGGGCCCGTGGGCTGCGTGCCCTAGAACCTACTTGGAGGGTTTAGGGTTTAGGGTTTAGAGTTTCGGGTTTCGGTTTTCGGGTCTAGGGTTTTGGGTTGAGCGTGTTCTCTCTTGAAGGGTCCTGGGGTAGCCTCATGGGTCGCTATAAGTAGGGTTCTAAATACACTAACAATGACTATCGACATCGTTTATATGAACCAATTAGGGTTTCATGCCTTACTAACGAAATTCTGGTACCCTTGTCATGCTCTGGCCCTGCACCCTAAACCCTAAACCCTGAACCCGAAACCCTTTATAAGCCCTAAACCCTGAGTCCTAAACCTTATCAACGCGAGCCCTCCTTTCAGGTTCATGGTCCATCAGGAGCCGGGCTACAAGTAGACAGGCTAGGGAGATAGGTTTAGGGTTTAAGGGTTTAAGGGTTTAGGGGTTTAGGGTTTAAGGTTTAGGGTTTTGGGTTTAGGGTTTAGGGCTGCTTGTGACCCCGGTTTGGGCCACGAACCTTTCTTCGAAAGATTCATGAAGCTCCAAGAAACAAGCCTGAGACAGCAAAGCACCCGTGACTGGTTCAGCCCAAAAGTCCCTAATCCCCAAAACCCCCACAAGCCCCC